ACCACCCAACAAAAACCAAACACCACCCAAAAAAACCAAAAACCCCCAAAAAAAACCAAACCCACCTACAGACAAAACCCACCACCAACAAACACCCCAAAACACCCTTAACACAAAAACCCCCACCAACAAAACCAAAACCACCATAAGCACAAAAAACCCCCAACCCCCAAACAAAACACCACCATAAAAACCCCCAAACCCCCCCCCCCCCAAAAAACCCCCCAAAAAACACCCCAACAGCACAAAACACCACCACCAAAAAACACCAAACCCCCATAACACACAAACACCACCACCAACAAAACACCCAAAACAAACACCACAAAAACCCAAACACCACCAAAAAAAAACCCCCCAAAAACCAAAAACCCCAAACCCAACAAACACCAAAACCCCCCACCAAAAAAACACCAAACACCACCAACACACAAAAAACCACCACCCAAAAAAAACAAACACCCCAACACACCAAAAAAACCACCACAACAAACACCAAACACCCCCATTACAGACAAAAAACCACCCCCAAAAAACACCAAAACACACCATACACCCCAAAAAAAACCACCACCAACAAACACCAAACACACCATACAGCACAAAACACCACCCAACAAACACCCCAAAAACCACCAACACACAAACCCCCACCACCACAAACACCAAACACCACCATACGCACAAAACACCCCCAAACAACACCAAACCCCCTACAGCACAAAACACCCCCACCAACAAAACCAAACACCACCAACAGACAAAAAACCACCACCCCAAAAAACACCAAAACCACCCTACACACAAAACACACCACCAAAAAACACCCCAAAAACCCACCATACGCACAAAACCCACCGGGACAAAAACCAAACACCCCATAAGACAAAAACCACCACCCAAAAACACCAAAAAACCACCCTACACACAAAACACCACCACCAACAAAAACCAACAACAACAAAAAACCAAACCCCCCACAACACAAAAAAACCCCACCAACAAAAACCAAACACCCCACCAAAAACCCAAACACCACCAACAGCACAAAAAACCCCCACCAAAACACCAAACACCCCTTCACCCCAAAACACCCCCACAAAAAACTCCCAAAAAACCCCCCTACCACAAAAACACCACCAAAAAACACCAAAAACCAACACCCAAAAACCCCCCAAAAAAACCCCACCTACAGCACAAAACCCCACCCCCAAAACCAAAACACCACAACAGCCAAAACACCACCCAACAAAACCAAACACCCCCAAAAAAAACCCAAAAAAACCCCCACCAGACAAAAACCACCCAAAAAAAAAACCCACCAAAAAACCAAACAACCCCTACAGAAAAACCCAAACAAAAAAAACCACCCCAAAAAAAACCCAACAAAACCAAAAAAAAAAACCCCAAGCCAAAACCCCCCCAAAAAACACAAACACCCCTAAAGCAAAAACACCACCCCCAAAAACCAAAATACGCCAAAACCCCCACCACCAAAAAAAAACCCACCAAACCCAAAAAACCACCAAAAAACACCCAAAACCCCCTTAAAGACCCAAAAAACCCACCAAAAACACCCAAAAACAATAAGCAAACCCCCCAAAAAACCCCAATACAACAAACCCCCCACCAAAAACACCAAACCAAACCAAAAAACAAAACACAAATAAAAAAAAAAACCACCCAAAAAAAAAAAACACAAAGACAAAAAACACCCCCCCCAACAAAAAACCTTCAGCCAAAAACCCCCCAAAAAACACTAGTTTTGGTTTGAACCACCTGTTTTTCAAAAGGGGAGAGAAAAAAACTCAACCAAATGTGAATAAAGAAAAGATGAAAGGGGGAAGAAAATAATAAATTTTGCAGTAGAAAAAAGAGAGAAAAGAATATGATGAATTTAATGACACCCAAATAATGCCCCCCCAAGCCTCTCTATAATGACCACCAGGAATATTGATCCACCATGCTTCCCTTTAATGACCAGGAATAATGACACCAATCCTCCCTATAATGACCAGGAATAATGACCCGCCAAACCTCCCTATAATGACCACCAGGAATAATGACCCACCAAACCTCCCTATAATGACCACCAGGAATAATGACCCACCAAACCTCCCTATAATGACCAGGAATAATGACCCACCAAACCTCCCAATAATGACATATACGCATGATACCCAGGCGCCATGGTGGATTAAATATGGCGCCTCTTGTTTACACTCTGGGAGGGTTGGTGGTCCGACACACTTGATAGATACAGCAAAAGGCACAATACCGTGACTGGAACAATACACAAATAGTAATAAAGTTGGTAGAATTACCGACAATATGTAAAGTAAAAGGACACAAGTGCAACTAATGTGACATTTATTGTGGCAACGTTTCGCTCTCCAGGAGCTTTATCAAGGTAATGGCTTGATAAAGCTCCTGGAGAGCGAAACGTTGCCACAATAAAATGTCACATTAGTTGCACTTGTGTCCTTTTACTTTACAATACACAAATAACTCGTACATAGGAGAGAGAAGCCTATGACAACGTTTCGATCCGACTTGTGACCATTTACAAGACACACTGATGAAA